CCGTGCCCCGCCTGCTGCTAACTGGGAGGGCCACCAACCTGGCAGGTGGATGAGGCTCCCTGGCAGGTGGATGAGGCTCCCTGCCATCTTGCTTCTAATACCTTTCCACCACCAATGGAGCCCAGACATGGGTGTGGGCGGGTAACCCTGGGGTCACCCCTGTCTCTCCCCGAGCCTGGCTTAACTCCCAGGGCGCTGCATGTACCCAAGGTCCTGCGAACAACGGAGCCCTTGGAGGACGGCAGTGGCCACCCTCCCTTATTTCCTGCACTCACTGGGGAGGGACAAGCTTTGACTGAAATCTGGGAGAATCAAGAGGCCAGGGCTTCCTGGAGGAAGCGCCCTTCCCCCCGAAGGCACCCCAGCTGCCTTTCAGTGACCCACAATGCTCAGGGACCCCTTCCTGCCTATCGCGCCCCACGAGCTGCAGGGGAAACGCGTTTGTGGTCACTTCATATTATTTCCCCGAGATGTCCCATTTGCTCCTACAGTCTTCACATTTGATGCTCCCAACGGTTTCTCAGCAGCCGTGGGGTTCACGGACGCCATTCTGTTCACAGTCCCCAGTCAGGGGGCACACGCGTTATTTGTGTCGGGCTCTACCACCGTATCTCTGAAGTTTCTGAGAAAAATACTGGTGGGCAAGTCCCAGCTCTGCTGCACCAACCGGCCCAGCCCCGAGTACCCACAGTCCAGAACGTGCCACAGCCAGCAGAATCCAGACACCAGTGAGCCAACCACCAGAGTTCTCTAAGCCACAAGCCGCGGGACTGGAGCAGAGACACACTGGCTAACGGGTACGAAGGCGGCCAGTCCCGCCCGATCAGTGTGGCTGTCTCAGCAACTCATTGAGCTCCTGTGGTGGTCGGCGTGCTGGGGAGTGAGGGCCACAGGCTCTGCTTGGACTTGCCGATGAGCCCTCTCGCAGGCAGAGAGAGGAGTGCTAAGCCAAAGGAAGAGGGTCTGGTTCCCTGAGCAGAGAGCACTTTCTCACGGAGGAACTTTTCCCAGTGCAGCCTGCTGGGCCATGGCTCACAAGGCGACCTCGCACAAGACTCAGCGGTTACTGTGTTGTTCGCCGACGTGAATAGGACCAGGAGGTAAAGTGGCGGCCAGGGTAAGGACCGCAGGGGCAGTGGGGACACTGGGGAGTACATGACCATCTGAGGAGGGGCAGCCACCACCATGGTGCCCCAGGAAGAGGCCCCAGACGGCCAGAGCTAACTGCCAGCGAAGCTGGGCTTCACGTGGTACATCCCGATTTTAGACGTTGAAACCAATCAGAGGTTTCGACAAAATACACCCAGTGGCCCAAACCAGGCCTGTGTCCGGTGTGTGCTGCCCGCGAGCTCCCTCACCTGGACGTAGTCGGAGAACGTCCTGGTGCGCTCGCCGTCTGTCTCCTCAAAGGCAGAGAACTGTCTGCTCAGCGCCATCCTGTCAACCCCAAAATAACCCGCTGCTGCAACGGCCCTCTGGATCTCCAGGGCGGCCACCACGTCTTCTGGCTTGTACCCCGACAGCGCCACCAGGTGGACAAACTCTTCCAGGCTGTTCTCCTGGGTGTTGATCACCCTGGTTAGAGTGTCAGGGAGGCAGGACGTTCCCACGGTCAGCTCCTCCAGAGCAGTGGCTGCAGAGACGGGGAGCAGGGTCAGAGGCCCACTCCCAGGGCACAGCAACATCAAGGCGT